AGGAGGTGAGAACGAACCCTATGCAGTTCGCACAGCATTGGGCTGGAGTATTGTAGGCCCAGCATCATCTTATGGTGACTCTTCTAGCATGTCTACTGTGTGTCACAGAGTTGCAGTTAAAGAACTACCCCTAGTGACTCCCGCTGATGTAATCAAGGTCCTTGAGTCTGACTTTAAGGATAACGACAAGGATAACAAGTCAGTGTCTCAAGATGACATTCTCTTTCTGAACATGTTAAAGGAAGGCATTTACAAAAACACTGAAGGACATTATGAAATGCCACTTCCATTTAAGGACAGACCCCTCCTACCAGACAATAAGCAAATGGCCACTGTGCGGCTTCAAAGCCTCAAAACCAAACTGTCAAAAGACCAAAGGTACAAGGATCAGTATATAAAGTTTATGAGTGAAATATTGGAAAAGGGTGACGCAGAGGAAGTGCAGAATGAAGCTAAAGAAGGAGAAAGATGGTATATCCCTCACCACGGGATATATCACCCCCAAAAACCAGACAAACTCAGAGTAGTGTTTGACGCCTCTGCAAAATACAGAGGTACCAGTCTTAATGATCATTTGCTGCCAGGCCCAGATTTGCTCAACAGCCTTAATGGTGTTCTCATCAGGTTTAGAAGGCATCAAGTTGCATTATTATGTGACATTGAAAAAATGTTCCACCAATTTCACGTGTATGAATCAGACAGAGACTATTTAAGATTTTTATGGTGGAAAAATGGCGCAATGAACACTGAGCCCCAAGAGTTTCGGATGAAGGTGCACCTGTTCGGTGCTACGTCCTCACCTGGGTGTGCAAATTATGGATTAAAGCATCTTGCTAAAGAAAACGAGACACAGTTTCCTCTTGCATCTCAATTCATAATGAAGGATTTCTACGTGGACGATGGGGTGACGAGCACTGCAAGCATCAAAGAAGCAATACAGCTCGCTCAGGAGGCTCAGACACTCTGTGCGTCAGGTGGTCTCAGACTACACAAGTTTGTAAGTAATAACAAAACTGTGTTAGAAAGCATTCCAGCATCTGAACGTGCCTCCCCACAGCAAGCATGTGACCTAGCGTTTAATGACTCTAAACTTGAAAGAGCTCTAGGCATTCACTGGCACATTGGCTCAGACACACTCAGGTTTCGTTTTCGCCCCAATGTTCAACCTGCTACAAGGCGTGGCATCCTATCTATGGTTGCATCCCTTTACGACCCATTGGGATTCATTTCTCCTTTTGTACTAACAGGCAAAAGAGTGCTTCAAGAGACATGCAAACAAGGCACAGGCTGGGATGACCCCCTTCCAAGTGAATTAAGGCCAATGTGGGATAACTGGAACAGTGACTTGAAGAACTTGTGGGCCATTCCCATCTGTACCGGGTCGGCCCGGGCCGGGTAGCGTAGGTTGTTTACATATCTGGGTGGCCTGGTATTTTCCCGGGCCAACCAAGGCTCATTCTCGGCCCTCTTCCCGAGGGGTACTGCTTCAGGCCGACCAGGGCCGACACACCCACTGCTGACAGCAAATTCACACCTTCCATTAGAGCAAGCCTCTGATTGGTGGGTAGAATCAGCCCATTCACACCTTCCATTAGAGCAAGCCTCTGATTGGTGGGTAGAATCAGCCCACATGGGCTTAAGACAAGGATGTGTGGAATCAACCGGGCCAGGCTGGGGCCGACTGGGGCTACCCGGCCCGGGCCGACCCGGTACAGATGGGAATGGCCCATTAGAGAACATCGTAATACCTCGCTGTTATGTCCCCAAAGACTTTGGCCTGATTGTAAAAACAGAGTTGCATCACTTTTCCGATGCAAGTTCATACGGCTACGGTCAGTGTTCGTACTTAAGACATGTAAACGAAGATGATAAAGTGCATTGTGCTTTAGTCACAGCAAAGACCAGAGTGGCTCCCATCAAGGTAACAACAATACCAAGACTCGAACTGACTGCTGCTGTTGTTTCCATTACTGTAAGTAACATGTTAAAAGATGAGCTTGGATTGACACAGATAGAGGAGTATTTCTGGACGGACTCTAAGGTAGTTTTAGGCTACATTAATAATGATGCAAGACGTTTTCACACATTTGTCTCCAATAGAGTTCAGAAGATAAGGCTCAACAGCTCTACCCAGCAGTGGAGATATGTCCCTTCTGAGGAAAATCCTGCAGACATTGCCTCTAGAGGTTCAGGTGCAAGTGAGCTCATCATATCCGACTGGTTCAAAGGGCCACAGTTTCTATGGGAAAAAGAAATACCTCCACCTGCAGACATCGACTTGAACATACCACTTGGAGACCCAGAGGTTAAGAAGGTACAGGCACTGAACACCCTCAAAACAGAGAACAAAGGTTTATCAGACAAGTTAACAAAGTTTTCCTCATGGTACAAAGCCACCCAAGCTGTAGCCCGACTCATTCGCTGTGCCAAGAGAGTCAAAACAACAGGCCACAGTACAGTACAAGAAAGACAAAATGCACAATGTGTTATTCTAAAGGACACACAAGCAAGTGAATATGCAGAGGAGATAAGGTTGCTAAAGAACGGGAAACCACTTCCACACAAAAGTAAACTGTTTCAAATGGACACTTTTCTTGATACTGATGGACTCCTTAAGGTGGGAGGAAGACTTAAAGATGCTTCATTCTCCTCCATGCTGAAACACCCAGTGATAGTTCCAAAAGGTCACCATGTCACTCAACTGATAATAGATCATTTCCACAGTAAGGTGCAGCACCAGGGGAAAGGTTTTACAATCAATGAGATCAGAGTGAATGGATTTTGGATTCCAGGCATCAACAAGGCCGTGGCAAATTTTATACACCAATGTGTGAAGTGTCGCAAACTCAGAAGAGGCACAGAGGAACAAAGGATGTCCGATCTCCCAACGCAGCGCTTGGATCCATCTCCACCATTTACCTTCTGTGGAATGGACTGTTTTGGTCCTTTTCTAACCAAACAAGCTCGCAAAGAGCACAAGCGTTATGGACTTCTTTTTACTTGCCTTTGCTGCAGAGCAGTGCACATAGAAATGTTGGACAACATGACTACAGACGCCTTTATCAATGCGCTCCGCTGTTTTATAGCCATAAGAGGAGCAGTCAGTGAGATAAGATGCGATCAAGGAAGCAACTTTGTCGGAGCTAAAAATGAGCTACAAGAAGCTTTAAAACAAGTGGACTCCAACCGCATTATCACATTTCTTGCAGAGAAGCAGTGTGACTTCAAAATGCACACTCCTCATTCAAGCCACACAGGAGGTGTATGGGAAAGACAAATCAGGACAATTCGAAACATTCTGCGCTCCACAGTTTCACTTTCATCTGGCAGAATGGATGACGCATCTTTAAGGACATTCTTTTATGAGGCAATGGCGATTGTCAACAGCAGGCCTCTAACGGTGGACAACCTAAGTGACCCAAGCAGCCCAGAGCCCTTGACGCCAAATCACCTGCTTACCATGAAGTCAAAGATATCCCTGCCCCCTCCAGGCACATTCATCAAAGAGGATATGTATGCACGTAAAAGGTGGCGACAGGTGCAGTACTTATCAGAACAGTTTTTGGTCACGTTGGAAAAGGGAGTATCTGTCCAACATCGCAACAAGACAGAAATGGCACACTCCAAGGAGAAACTTGAAAGTTGGAGATGTTGTCATGGAGAAGATGGATGATCTACCCCGCAATGAATGGCGATTAGCACGTGTAATGGACACGGTAACTGACAAAGACGGACTTGTAAGAAAAGTAAGGATTTGCTTCGGAGAAAGGAAGACTGAGAAGGGACAATGTTCTAGTAAACGTTCTATAGTGGAACGCCCAGTGCAGAAACTGGTTTTGCTATTAGAGACTGTTTAACTGAATTCTACAGTTTATGGTTCACTTTCTAGGAGACATAACATGCTTTTAAGTTATTCCTTTTTACATCTAAATCCTTCAGTTGGGGTCTAAATACAGTGGAACTGCAGTTCTTTGGTCTGATTTCCTCATTATTGTTGCTCTACAGACCCTCATCTACCCCTGTTCTGAGGAGAGTCTTGAGAACGAGCCGTTTTTGGGTACTGTCTCTTTAAACTGGAGGAGGAGCTGTAAACTCCGCCCCCCTCCATAGTGCAGACCTGTACTCTCCTCCCCCAGTCGGACTTTGTAGTTCTATAGAGAAATCATTATTTAGCATAGCAGATTTAGCATAGCATATTAGCATTTTTAAAACATGTGGGGAGGGTAGTTCATCAAGCTGTTTCAAGGCTGCTAACTCTCTCATGCATTTGTCTGTAGTCACACACACACACCCGTCACTGCCGACAGAGGGACCAGCTAGCAGGCACGTGCGCGCGCGCGCGCACACACACACACACACACAAGGAATGCTGCTTGCTTATTTATTTCTATAAAAAATGTTTTAAAAAATGATACAGCTCATTAAAACACCATTAAAATAATACATTTTATTAAGATCTCTATCTATATATATACATACATATAATTATAAATAATTTTATAAGTAGTCTTATTTTATATTGGGTGTCTTAATGGCTGAAAATGGATAAAAAGCAGTTACATTTTAATTTAAAGATTTGAGATTCGAGTCAAAAATAAAGAACATTCCTCCAAATGTTCTTTAATGTGATCATTATAATTCTAATGCTTACAACTTTGTTTTTATTGTCTGCAATGCGTAGCCTATATCTTTATTAAATGTGTTTAGCTGAAAAGTGGTAATTCTCTCTAATGTGTACACAGAGGTGGACATCAGTGCTGCAGTGAAATTCCCAAGATCAGTCTGCTTTGCTAACAAATATAGTTAAATCTTACCTGCATTCTAAATAAATACCGTTAGGTGAAAACATCAGTAGGCATTGAGTTACTGATACAATCCCTAACAGCCAGAATGGAAGAAGAGCATGCTGGGTCATCCTGGATCTGAGCCTGTTACCTACAGGATGCAATAAATGTCTACAAGGCTGAGTTTGGACCATTACATCTAAAAGAAAACATACAATCAGTGATTTTTTTATTGTTTACATTAATATACACATTTTCTAAGTATTAACCTCACAGCAAATAAGTAGAACTATATAATAAACAGGCTTTAGTAGTTAAAACAGGCGTTGTGCACACAGGTGCTTTGTGTCTCGGTGCTGGTGGTGTCTAGGTCTCAGAGTTCCTGTCCTCCTGCCGTCTTCTGTTGTCCTCAGGATACGAATTGATGTTTCCTGATGATGAGGGAGGGGCAGTATGTGGGCTTCAAACTGGTCCTGGATAACAGTGGGAGACCTCCGTTGTCTGAATACTGAGACCAGAGGGTTGGTGAGATGCAGATCTTCTCTACCTCATCTAGAAACGGAGTTGGTTCAGGGAAAACTTTTCCAAAGACCAGTTCCATGATGTCATCGCCATATTCTGCAATGATAGACAATAACTTTAATGACATATTTTGTTTACAAGCAGCTTTAGGAAAGTTGTTTCTTTAGCTTTCATGTTTATAGTCACGTTTGTGTTTGTTCACAAGTTCACTTTGCTGCAGTGACTTCATATTCTTACAAATGTAATAAAATAGTGACACTAAAATTATACAAATGATTCCTTATGAAAGGAAGCTCATTAGAGAGCAGTGCAGACAGACTTACTACATGCTGCAGCTGTTTTTACAGGCCAGCTGCTGCTGAATTTGGGGAAAGTTATTCTGCACACATCCAGATCAGATGGTCGATTACAGAAAATAATGTAATTCAATAATTTCTAAACAGATTAAACAAGTAAAACATCAAATAAATCACTCTGCTGTCATCAGACGGAGTGATTCAGGGGGTGAGGTGTTCTTAATGATGAGGGTGGCTGAGGTGTGTCATCACTCACTTTGGTCTGGTCCAGCTACCATCTCTTTACTGGTGAGCCTCCTTCCTCAGTAGGTGACGTGAAATGCCAACATCTGAACGTTCTGTGTTCCTTAGAGGAGAAGAAAAGTAACATTAGCAAGCTGGCTAAATTATTTTTTACTAGCATCTCGGAGAAGCAGATCTTCACTTACCTAAACATCAGACCAGTTTGTCCCAGCTGAGCTCATCAGGGCTTTAGTCTGACAGCCTGTCAGTGAAACACGGCTCCAGTCTTCTGGATGTTGACTCTAAAAAGCAAAGGAGCATTTTTACTTTTGTTTTACAGCCGATTTTATCAGCTTTCCGACGCTCACGCTCATACAGACGGTGAGCTTTGCTGCGTCTGACTGATAAAGTTAGTTTTTATATCTGCAGTGAGACAAAAAACTAACCTCACTCCACTCAGAGATTGTTCTTTAAAACTATTAAATCCACTGTGTTGACGCACTTTAATGACTTTGTCACGCTGCATTTTAGCTGATATGGGACTTTATTTACTGGATGCTAAGATTACATCACACTCACGTAGAATAACACACAGGCTCTCTGCTGCTACAATCAGTGGGAGGTTATCATCTGGTGTAAAAGAAGGCGTTGATCAGAAATCACGTTTTATTCCACGAAAATCAGCCAAATCCACATTAATCTGGGTGCTAACTTTACTAGCATACTGTGCTAGCGATAGCAAGCCGGATGCTAACGCTTTAGTGCTGCTAATGCCCGTAAATCTAAAGTAAAGTTTGTCGACATTTTAGAGTGATATGAAGCTTACCGCTCTGCTGCTGTGTCCCGGTGCTGCCAAATTCAGATGCAAATGACTCCTTTTAGATAGATGAAGCCCTCAGTACTTACTAGCCTGGAGACAGGAACGAACGAACCACGCGCACACACACACACACACACACAAACAAACACAAACACACTACTTTTTCTTCTGTGTTTTTTTAGCAGTAGTGTCATCAGCTCCTGGGTTTAAATACTGCCACACCACCCTTCCTTAAAACGAGGAACAGTTTTGAGCTGTGTGTGGCTAAAATAACCAGACATTCTGCATTTTTCCAATAGGACTACAAAAAATCTTAGCGAGAAGAAAAAATGGTGGATTGGCTCTGTGTTTAGCCGAGGGCCATTACCATATTTGGTAGTTATCCTGACTAAATTAATTACTGACGTAATGGATAATGTAAAAACTGAACGGGTGGACAAATATGCCCAAAACTTAATTATTAAATATCTAAATAGCAACTCCAGTGAATAATATAAGCCTTTTTGCTCACTTAGACACTTAAAATGTGAAACACACTGTGTTAATGGATAAAAAAGTGGGTTTTTCATGTTATGTCTCCTTTAATGGAACTATGTGTTACCATGCAGTTTAATTGTTACAGGTCATTTCTTCATTAGGAAATCATTATCGCTTCAGTTAATTCACAGTTACGCTTTTAATGATTTGGTGGGAGTGTAAATGACCACGTTAATATTTTGTAAAGTAGTTCATAAAGTTATGAGCGACTGTTATATTGTTAGAGCGGATGCTCTTACTTTGAAAGTCACAGAGCGACAAGGTGCCGTAAATCGAGTGACGTAAACTGTATAGCCGAAGCGCGAGATCTAATGCACAGAGAGAAGGTGTGCTCTATGGTTAATGGACAGGAATGGGAAAAAGAACGGCTATTAAGGTGCAATACTGAGTTGAAAGCAGTTTCTTAGCACCTGGTTGATGAGGGAACAAGGTTTGTAACCAAGTTTGTCCTGTAGATATGCACTTTGTTGTTATATGGAGCATGTAGCTGCTAACCGCTGCTAAGCATAAAGGCTAAGTTTTTTACCCACTAGAGGGTGCTAACGTATCTTGTCATGTCTAGGCAGCGATGCAACGATTTCACTGTTATATGGAATAATTGACAAGTTTCAGTGTTATTTGTTATGAAAGGTAAAGAGAATTAATTTGTGATTAATAAATAAGTCAAAAGGGTTAAAGGTAACACACAGTTTGATTTACTAATAGTCTTTTATTCTGTATGTTGTAGCTCTTACGGTGTGTTCACATGCACGGCTATTTAATAAAAGGATTGTGAACCATCAGTTTGAGAGACCATCTTTTCAACCGGGGATGCTACAAAGGGAGTTTTGAGATGGGCCTGTAATTAGCTAAGGTTGTCACATCCAGCCCCGTTTTTTTAACATAGGATGAATAACAGCCTTCTTAAACGAGGACGGAACCATACCAGAAGTAAGACTGCCATTTATGATTGCCAACAGCAAAGGGCCTATCACTGGAAAGAGTTCTTTATAAATTCTAGGGGGCAGCACATCACAAGGAGAGCCAGAAGGTTTGAGCTGAGCGACCAGTTTTTCCAAGTCTGATAATGTAACAGTCTCAAATGTTTCCAGTGTAGCCTGGAGCGGCTCTGGGAGTAGAGAGTCAGATGGTGAGTTTTTAATGGCATTTCGAATAGCTGTAACCTTATCAACAAAAAAGTGAAGAAAGTCATTACAAGTTTCAACTGTGGGAGGCAAAGAGCTAGAATCAGAGAACTCAAGTAGCGAATTTACAACAGAAAAAAGAGTGCGTGGATCGTGAGAATTTTTTTCCACGATATCAGCAAAGAACTTCACCCTTTCTTCCTTAAGAGTTTGCTGATAGCTAAACAAAGATTCTCTGAATATCTCACGAGAGACTTGGAGTCTGTCTTTCTTCCATTTCCTTTCTGCCCTCCTACAGGATTGCCTGCAGGCCCGAACATCATCAGAGAGCCATGGTTCTGGCCTAGGCCTCATCTTTCTAATCCTAAGAGGTGCAATTCTTTCCAAAGTGTTTTTACAAATACTGTCAAATTGGAGTGTAAGCTCCTCTGCATTAAGTGACATTGTGTGTAGCTCACTTCCTTCTGCACATAGGAGCTCACCAAGCTCAATAATCTTTGCTGCATTTAAAACACGACGAAATCTCACATGAGAGGAAGTCACAGCAGGCTAGTTAAAATCCCATAAAATGGGCGAGTGATCAGAAAAAACCGGGCTCAGTATCTCTACACCAGCAACAGAGAGACCAATAGACATCACTAAATCCAAGGTGTGTCCCTGCGCATGAGTAGGTCCCAGGACCCACTGTGACAGATTAAGGGAGCCCAACAGATGTAAAAAGTCTTTGGCCAATGGCTTATCAGGGCAACACACATGAATATTAAAATCACCAAGAATCAAAACATGATCATATTTTAGCATGTATACAGACAGGAGGTCAGAGAAGTCCTTTAAAAAGTCCACATCAAATTTAGGAGGACGATATATCAACGTCACGAGCAACAGAGGAGGTGGGCCAAGTTCAAACAGGCACATTTCAAAGCTGGAAGGAGGATTTGATGGAATAAGCTGTTTACAGTTGAAGTGAGATTTATACACGACAACCAGTCCACCACCTCTGCCAGAAGACCTCGGGACATTAAAACAGCTACAACCCACTGGTAGTAGTTCCAGTAAAGCACTCGAATCTCCCATAGGCAGCCAGCTCTCACATATGCACAGGAGTTCCAACCCCTGTGCAACAAAGAAGTCTTTCAAAATGAAAGTTTTATTCATTGCCGACCTGGCGTTGACCAGACCCAGCCGTGTGAGATGTGGAGTCGTAGGCTCAGCGCTATTTAAGCCCAGGGACGTGGATGCTACCCCCGTACAGGTCACCGGGTGGAGATTCGCTGGGTTGACTCCCCTCCATCGGCACCGAGACACTGGATGAAAGCGCGGGTGCGCAGTCTCCTCTTCAAACCCCACCAACGGCACGAGGCAGGACGGGGCCGGCTCCAACAGGCGTGACAGCGCCACAAGATGACAGCTGATACCTGTCAGCTCAGCAAGCTCCCTACGGGGCCATGACAGCTTGGACCGTAGTCTCACCCGCCGTCCACCACGCCTTCCACGACCCCTATGACGCTTCCTCCAGTTAGCCCGATCCAGGAGCCGTCGAGGCACAAGCGGTGGTGATGAGCGGCACTGGCAGGAGGACGAAAAACCGGAACTCCTCCAGCCCGTCCAAGCACCCGGTTTCACCAGGCCAGCAGCTGATCGAAGTTCTAGAAAAGCCTCTCGGTCATAAGTCAGCAACAAAGTCACATTACACACGAAAACACTCAAAAATAATAAAAAGATAAAATATCCGACAGGAGACAGACGGCTTGCCACGTACACCATCTTGAAACCCCAAGAATCCCCCAAGAAGTCAATACTATGTGACAATCAGCTGAAACTGTTGAGAAAAATCTGTTCAAACAAAATAACAGAAGATGTTCAGAAAGTTTAGAAGCCTGTGTTCATCATTAAAGAACCGCATCTCAGGTCATCTGCGTTTACGTGCTTTTAACACGGATTTTAATGTCGTCCAGAGTATTTAACCGAGGACGTTTTCCTACCCAACATCAGCCTCCAGTCAGGTCTGTTAAACCCCAGATTATCCTGTGTTCTTTACAAGCGCGTCTCCATCACCTGCTGCAGAAGCTGCTGCGTTCAAAGCTGACAGAAACGGGGATCCGTGCGCTGCAACCCCCGCAATAAACCTGCGTATTTCCAGTACAGATTTGAACATGCTTGTCGAATGATTTGTGCAATAATCAGATTTTTATTTTACGTTTGAAGACTCGTGGGTAAAGGGCTTTTTCAGTCTGTGCCCCAAAGTTATGGAACTCATTACCACTGCAGGTTAGGCAAGCTTCCTCTATCGCCGTCTTTAAATCTCGTCTGAAGACCCTCTACTTCACTTACGCATTCGATCCCTAATTCCATAACTCCTTAGCTCATCCATTGTCCCTCCTAGACAATTCAATTTTAATTTTGTGTTTTTATATTCTGGTTTTATTTGCTTTTACTGTTAATAGTCTGTTGTTTTTATTTCTTTTGCTCCTTTTTACATTTTCCATCTACCTGACTATTTTAACTTGTGTTTTCTTGCTTGTTTTTTGTGCAGCGCTTTGTATGGTTGTAATGCCGTGTTGAAAGCGCTATATTAATAAAGTGGTATGGTATGGTATGGTTACTTCCACAAAATGCAAGTTATGAATTAAATATTACTGAAATGGGGACGGCTTGTCATCGGATTTAAACGCCGCCGCTCGTTAATTATGCCGTCATTTTTGAAGTCAGGTAGTCCAAATGACAGTGGAGAGGCCCGCTCGCTGTTGCACACATGCGCAGTGGGCATTATTTTACCCCAACAACCCGAATGGCTGTGTACATGCACGTCAATCGGAATGAAGAATGGAATAAACCACCTCTCTCAATCGGATTGAAATTTCAATACGATCGGACCGAATCGGATCAGAATATTCCGATTGACATGTTTACATGCAGAATTTTCGATCTGATTGAGCATTCAATCCAATTAATTCAAATTCAAATTCAAAAATACTTTATTAATCCCAGAGGGAAATTGATTGCTGTAGTAGCTCAGAATAATAATAATAATCAAGTCATCAAAGAGTTATTGTATATTACAATGGCTGTTGGCAGGAAGGATCTCCAGTAGCGGTCAGTGTTGCAGCGAAACTGAAGAAGCCTCTGACTGAAGGGGCTAACCCTAACCCTACATATGCACATGTAAACGTGGCTAGTGACTCTAACGCAGCACTAGTTGACAGACATCATTACAGCGTGAAATCCAGCTGTACACCACAGCGTGACCTGGTTCTGTAAGGAATTCTGTTCAGGAGGTCGCATTTCAGGCTCTCTCCACATCATATGTGACTGGCTTTTACGTTATAATAACGATCACATACTAGGAATGTTATAAAGCGCCTATATCTGACAGTTTCTTTTGTATATTATCTGACTTTATAAACTCCAACAACAATGTGCTTCTTTTTTTTTTTTCTTCAGGCAAAATCTGCCCAAGACATTGGCGTTCAGACTGATTTAGTAGGCTGCAAGAATGCACTTGTCCAGGCTGAAGTTAAGCCTTACCCGTAGCAAAAGTGAATTATTTTTAATAATCTTCTATGTAAACATTTTATTATTACCTTCTAGTTTTAATCTGTTTACAGATTATTGTTACACATGATTTTATGCTCTTTTAAACATTTATAAATGTGCTGTTTCTTTGTATTTTACATAGCCACACAGTTTAGAGCTCCCAGCCGCAGTGTGTCTTGTGACACAGGGACCATGACGGAAATTCATCTTCCAGAATGTCTGGCTCATCATTTAGCCAGATTTCTAAGGTATAGGCCAAAAATGTTTAGGTTAGTTTTGATAAGGTCCGTGCATCTCTCATTTCATGACGTAACTTTTCATATTTTAGTTCCTGGGTGCCTTCAATGTGCAGGGACTGTCCAAGCAGACATTCTATCGA